GGGGGGGGGGGGGCATAGTGAGACGAAAACTGTAATGAAATTTTTGTCTCCAACGCTTTGTTTCTTAGTTATCAATAAAATAAAGCTGTCAAACAGACGGTTTTCGCCGATGAAGAAATTCCCTCGAGCTATCCCCACGATATGTGCGATGAGTTTTGGGACAACCTGTATATTTATAATGCACTTTCCAGTCCTCTATTTCTAACTATCGCTAGAACTAATGAGTTCTCAATGAACATCTTTGAATCTGAGGCAAATGGACGAATATTGATAACCGTTTTTCTCTGCAGGACAACGTGGGAGCTAAAAAATGATTCTCATGAAAATTTCGCTATTTACTTCTGCTTCAGAGTTGTGTGTATTTTTCGCCTGGAAAAACGATGAGATTGATTTGCTTTCATCATAATTGAAGTGGTTCTGTACAACTAAGACTGGAATGAAATTCTAGCAAGATCACCTCAGCGAATGTAGAGTTACAGTTCAGTCTCTGTACAAGATACTACTTAGGCCTGAATCCGTGCCGAGGGATACCTCCACTCTCTGGCTTCAATGTTTTTCATTTCACATTCTCTGTACAAGATACTCGACAAAGGTAATTAGAATTGAGTGGAGTTGGGATACTCCAGAAATGACTGGAAATATATGCATCTATGATCTAGAACTTAATTGCACATCAATTGAATTTCAAAACGAATGGGCACTCGTTATAGTTAATAAAAATAATTACACGCATCGGTCATAAAAGTTGGTAAAATGTTTATTTTTATAAAGGTAAAACAAAATTCCACCCAATTTTATGAAAACAAAAATTTCAATAAAAGTCTCAATTTTGTCTCGCAGGCCCCTATTAACAAACTAACTTATTCCGAATTTATAAATTGTTATTTTAAAAAGAAACAATACCTTCTAATCAAACATTCGTGCTTCACATCAGGAATCGTACCCAAATGATCATAACAATGGAAATCGTCAAGAATCTTGTACAAAGAATATCAAATCAAAATATTTTCCCCTCCGAGCGCAAGTAGAGTGGGGGATACGTAATTTTTGGAATTTTATTTCCCTACCGTTCCGGTGGTATCTTGAAGGAAGATTGGACTGTATTCGAATATGATTTTTTCGAAAATTTGTCACTTTTTCTTCTGGTAAATGAACAACAATAGAAAACTTATCGGTAAGTTGTTAGTTCAAAGCATAATGGATTGAATCCACTCTAACTCACTCCTACTAGTCATACCCGGCTTCTTATTTTTTACTGCAGTTTTTTTTTTAAAACGTAACAATCTCAAAATTTTTATATAAACTCATGACAAAAGTAGTTTGAAAGAATCGAAAGTTTACATACCTGGACTTGGATCAATGGCAGCTAGCAACTCTAACTGCGGCCTCAGGCTACTCAATTGTCCTGGATCTGGTGTTCTCTGTAACGCAATCACCAACTCCTGTACACTCTGAGCAAACGACTGTGGTGTCTGCAGCTTATCAATAATACTCTGCATATGTGACTTGTGACCAGTATCTCCATACAATAGTGCTGACCACTGATCCGGTGCTATTCTCAAACCAGCTTCAGTGGCGATTTGAACAATCTGAGCGTCGTGTTCTCGTCTGAGGGCCTCGTACGTTCTAAACTCTTCTTTCAATTGCATCAAGGATGAATCTCCTTCTCTTTTTGAGACCTTGGAACGCATAGAATGAATAAGATGTAAATATCTACGTACACTAAATATATTGCCTGCCCATGAAATCGCTATTTGGGTTCAATGCATCAAAAACAAGTGAGAAATTGCTCCTGTACTGTATATAGTATAGTTATTTTTTCTAATAAGCAATATGCTTCTGAATGGTTATTTTGCGCATCAGTTCCTGCTATTATGTATAATTCATTGTTTATTTCATTTTATCAAATTGAATAAGATTTCTTTTTAACTAAGTTTGTCAGATTTGCAGCTTAGTTGAATGTTATCATCATCATTATTCTTATTATCCCTTTCTTCTATACAACCAATTGTCTTTTTTTACAGTTCTATCTCTCCATTCAGCCCTTAGATAAAATGCTAATAGAAAAATGTTATTTATATATATTTGAATGAATTTGAAACATTACATTTGAAGAAACTATCAGAAAGCTCATTTTCAGGGAAATTTATGAAAAATTCGAAATTTTCAACAATCATCATAAACATAAAATCAACCAATATAGCTATCGTAATCGACTTAATGGCATTAAAACAAACATTTTAAGCTATAAGTGAATTCATTTGAAGCATGATATCGAAATATATCACGGGAATTCTGATTTTCCAAAAATATAGAATTTTTTGCAAATTTTCATATAAATCAAAATAACGATTATTGCTATCGCTTTCATTTTCGAACTCGGTCAAATGGATATCCAAACAAATTTTTGAAGCCATCATTCAATCAATTCAGAACATTTTTTTAGCTATCGTGGGTCAACCGATTTTCGAAAAAATTCGAAAAACAAAAAAACTAATCGATCAACAATACCTGCATTTGAGGGAAAAAAAATTCAATTCCATCGAGTCATTAGTAAACAATCGAAGAAAAATTTGCTTACATACGTACGCACATACGTACGGACACGGTATAAAAATTTTGGACCATAATGAGTCGATATAATACGAAAAATCCAAAACTCAAATTTGAACGATTTAGTATTCTGTAACCATTCGTTTCCGAATAGAAACATTTTAATCGTTCAAATTTAGGTTTCCAACTTTTTGTGTTAGAATAACTAAATAAATATGGTCAAAAATTCAAAATATGCGATGTCTTATAGGTGTTTGTTTTTTGTTTGGAAAATCTCCCATAGGAGATCTATGAAATTTTACAAATTTTTTTCTGAACAGAATTCGATTAATTCCATTCATTGACAGCGATTCAATGGGACCCTCCGAAGGGAACTCTTCGATATTGAAGTCATGATTATCGAAGTTCGTTCATTGAATCATTCTTATTTATGTACGGATCTTATTCATTGAAACACTGGATCAGTTCCCCCCCCCCCCCCCGTTCA